GTCCGGCAGCGCCATGGCCCAGGGCTCCCCGCCGCCGCCTCGTGCCCCGGCCCTCCTGCCCGACGCTGGACCCCCAGGCCTGGACCCCCAGGCCCTGGCCGGCACCCCACTCCCACGTTCCCCGGGGCCTACCACCCTGGCTCTCCTCGCCGACTGGCGCGGGCACCTCGGGGGCGTCCTCCGTGCGCTCTGCCCAGGCCAACCCGTCACTCCACGTCAGGCCCCGCCCCGGGAGCGCTACGTCTCTTGCGGTGATGCCCCATCAGCCAATCAGAAAGCGCCCTCGCTCGGCGCGAGAGCCAATCGCAGAGCTGCCGGGAGGACGGGGCGGGCGCACATGTCCCGGGGCCCCAAGAAAGAAGACCCGGCTGGGTGCTTTCCTCCCGGGAGGGGTGAAGGGTTTCCTGGGAGTCCGGGTCGGGGGGCAGCCCACAGATGGGGCCCCACGGGACTGGGAGTGGAGGGTCAAGCGAAACCGATCCGGGGAGGCCGGGAGGCTGTCACTATCTCACTACCACGAGATCGGGGGACGAATGCGGCCTCATGGCCCAGCGGTGCGTTAGGTGGAACTCTGCCTTTCACACTACATCTCACAGTTCCTGCTGTCTCGACAGAGGAAAAACGTCAGTGAGCATTCCGAGGCGGTGAGATTTCACCAGAAACCTGCTCTCGGGCACATGGAACTTCTCCACCACGCTGACTTGGATGTGGAGACTGAAACTGGAGAGCCAGGAAAGATCCTGTCATTCATTCTTGCCCTTGGACCAACAACCTGTAGTTTATCGTCTCTTACATGACCATTTTGATCATGCACAGCAATAGATCACCTCTCAGTCCAGGCAAAATGCTTCTTAAGTCTTAAACTCTTTTATTTTTTTGGTTAGTACCGGGGCTCGAACTCAGGACCTGGGCATTGTCGCTGAGCTTTTTTTGCTCATGGCTAACGCCAATCACTTGAGCCACAGCTCCACTTCCAATATTTTGTGGGTTAATTGGAGATCTAAGTCTTACAGGCTTTCCTGCCTAGGCTGGCTTCGAACGGAAATTCTCAGATCTCAACATGTTGAGTAGCTAGGATTACAGGCATGAGTGCCCAGTTTTTAGTCTTAAATTCTTTTTTTTTTTGGGGGGGGTCCGGTTGTGGGGGCTTGAACTCTGGGCCTGGGTGCTGTCCCTCAGCTCTTCAGCTCAAGGCTAGCGCTCTACCACTTGAGCCACAGCGCCACTTCCGGCTTTTTCCTTTTTGCTTATGTGGTGCTGAAGAATCGAACCCAGGGCCTAATGCATGCAAGGCAAGCGCTCTACCACTGAGCCACCTTCCCAGCCCCTAGTCTTAAATTCTTAAGGAACATGTGTAATATAATGTCTTCTTTGGTCACCCTATATAAATTCCCACACTGTCTCCTCCCCATCTCGGTTCTCGGCCTTTTCTTCTTACCACTTACCCCCATCTAAAATGTCCTATATTTTACATTTTACTCCCTCCACCCTAGAATATAAGCTTCATAAGGGCAAATGTCTCACACACAGTGATAAAGATTTGTTGAAAATGGTTAATGAACACTAAATTTCTATTAAAAAATTTTAATTGCTTTGTAAATGCATTTCTTTCCCCCCAAAAAGCTTGTAAATTATCCCCAACACAATTTCTAAACACTGATGTAGAAATTATTTTGATTATTGAGCAGTGTTCTATGAACTAAAAAAATAACTAAATATTGGACCCAAAGGACTTTCTCCTAAATTAAGTATATTTTCTAGTTTTCTGAAAAGTGAGCTGATTGCATTAATGTTTAGTATAATTTATACTCAATATTAACAGATGGTTTCTTAATACTTTCCAGTGCCATGAAACTTTCTACATATATGTAGCTCACTAAAGAAGCTATTCCAGCCAGGCACCGTAGTGCCTGCCTGTAGTTGTAGCTACTGAGGCTAAAGCATGACAATTGCTTGAGTCCAGGGATTTGAAGAGTTCAAATCCCAGTGCTACCTGTTAGCATTATCCCCACCTCTGGTGGTCAGCTCCACCCAGACCTGAGCTCCTCCCTGCGCTTGAGTTCCCAACAGATAGCTAGCCACTGCCTCTCTGCCCAGACCTATCTGTGCACGGACCTCTCCCCTGGCCCCAGAGTTACCCACCTGGATAGGAGCGGATGCCATACTGTTCCCTCTCCCAGGGAGATATGACCCCTCTAATAAACCTTATAATATAATCTTTCTCCTGTGCCTGGCTATCTCCGCGTGGTCCCCTGGGACAGCCGGGAAGGCACCTAACATTGCAACCGAAACCCGGGATAGGTGCCCCAGAGGATTTGCTCCCTCCACTTCGGTGGGGGGTGGGGGTGGGGGAGGGAGGCATCCCCAACCAGATGCCCAGGACCTAGCCTTCATTGCTGTCGCCAGAGGACCACCAAGATAACATTCTCCTGACCGGTCCTTCTACTTCCACCCACCACAATGGCCAATTTTTCATCTCCAAGCAGCGTGAGTTCCAGGCCTAGTTAGCCAGGGGCTCAGAGAAGGACACAGAGAAATCTCAGCGTGCTGAGTTCCTAACCCCACCCAGGGACCCTAAGCCACAAGGTTCAAAGGTCAAGGAAATCAGTGAATGTGTGTGATGGACTCCTTTTGGTGTTTTTTCCCTCCTTATTAGCTGATCATAGGGCCGCTGACAATGCTCTTTGGCTGCTTGTCAGCTCTGATCCTTTACTCTCCAAGGGCAGGAGACAATAAAATTCTTCCTAAAAACCGCTCAAGTTTGAGTGTCTCATGCAATCAAATTTGGCCCCAAATTTGGAACGCCACTTCTGTGAACACTCGGGCAAGTAAAACACTCTCTCACACTCTCTGTGTTTGTCTGTCTCTGTCTGTCTCTGTCTCTGCCTGTCTCTGTCTCTGTCTCTATCTGTCTGTCTGTCTGTCTGTCTCTCTCTCTCTTTCTCTCTCTCATCTGCAAAAGTAAAATTAGCGGAAAGGATCTCTTGCCACAAGAAATTCAGGAAGATGTATGGCTAGTATTGATTTTGTGCACTTTAAGATCTTTGTGCACAAAAAATGTATGTATGTATGTATGTATGTCTGTATGTAAACTTGTTAAGACAGAAACTGTCATCATGATGCAAAAAAAAAAAATTGATGAGTTTAAGTTTAAACTCCAAGGAAAGTTTCGAGGTTTGGGCGTTACCAAAAGTCTCAAAGGAGTATTGCATTGTTTGAAAGAGGTACTTTTAGTTCTTGTTACTTGTTTAAGCATGAAGATTCTGTTTGTTGTGGGCCAAATCTTGAGTTCTCTTTAGCTTTGACCAGGTGTTGGATACAAGGATTAAGTTTAACAGGTGCCATCTTGGCATCAAGGTAAATCTCAAAAAAAGCTCTTGGAGGTGGAATCACATCCACCCCTCAGCTAGTAGGCTGGATTGAATTCCTTACCGGCTGGGGCTGGGATGTAAAATCTGAAGCTCCCTGTGCCCTGCCCCTCTGAACTCTGGAGCTGCACAGCTGCCATTTTATACCTGCTCCACTAGTTTAGCACAGTCTTGATTTGTAATTCTGTGACCCCCCCCCACCTGACACTGTCTCCCCAACCAGCCCAGGTGCATTATGGTATGCCACACGTCTCTGTGATCATGTCCTGTCTCCTGAAGTTTTTTTTGTTGTTGTTGGAAAAGGTGTTTTGTTTTGATTTTTTTAACTGACCACATGATTCCATCACGATTGGGCAAAATAATGTCATTTTGCTGCTGGAATTCCAAAAAACTTTTTAAAAAATTGTGCACAAAGAAATCTAAGCGCACCCTATGTCTGTGTCTACGTTGCTGTCTATATGTAAAATATGTACAACTGTCATCATGGTTTCAAAGTTACTTGCTTTCAACTACAATTGTAACTAATGTAAACCTTATAACTACCATGTATTCTGCTTGCTAAAAGATCTTTGTCAATGGAAGCTGTGATTGACTCTGAGTTGCCTTGAAAATTCTGAGATCATCTGACTACAAGCTGAAGGGGGGAAAATGGTGGTTTTAAAAAGGGCCTTTGGGAAAGGAGTTGAGGAAACAAGAAACAGTTTCCTTTGGAAAGTAAAAACTCCAAAAGTTCCAAATATGAATGCAGGTGGTAATTAAGTTGGCTAGGATTTATGTCATTCCTTATGTCCATCTATGCTAAAAGTTGAATACTATACATCTGATCATGGCTGGTAAAATAAGGCTACGGTTTTGTTTCTCCATTTTTTTCTCCTGTGCTCTGATCAACTCCCTTTAAGATCAAGGGATCAGAAACATTGTGGAATAAGTGTGCAACTGTGGGCACTGTGGCTCTCAGAGTCCAGCCACCCCCACTTTTTCCATGCTAACAATGACTCAGGATGCAGTTTGCCCTTGTGCATGGAAAAATGCCCAGGAAACAAACAAAAGTCATCATGCTGCCTAAACCAGTGGACACCAGTCTGAAAAAGCCAGTGTACTCAGAGTAACCAGGTCTTTAACCAGTCTGTGCAGAAATTTGCAGGGGGTGGAGGGGGAACAGTAGGATGTGTGACAATCCATACACACTGGGAAACACTACTACAGCCTAGCCCAGACTTCCTGGACCATCCTGACTACCTCCACCATGGTAAAAGTAGGCTGGGTCTCTGCTTGGCTTCATCGCACATGACTAAAGCCTACTAAATCAGAATGTTTCAGATCCACTGAAGCTCAGACTTTTACATTGTCCTGATTTGTTTATGTGCTCTTCCACCTGTCAGTAATGTTAATCCCCACAAGTTAGACCGCAAGGGAGGTATGAGTAAAGAAATGATGCGATTTGATTTCTATGGCATTTTACAGTTAGATACATTTTGGTCAATAGCAAAAGGTGCCAAATTTGG